ATGCCACCATTTGGGCGAGTTACACGAATTTATGTAATCATATAATTAATTACAGTAATAATCAAATAACACTTTAATGCCATATTCTATTTTATAATTACAAGTTAATGCAATGATCTTATAAAAGATAATTTCACAAAAACTAGTGAAATCATTAAATATACTTCTTTTATGGGATGAAATATAATAGTTACCCCTTCTTAGAGGTCTGTCATGAAATATAATAGTTACCCCGTCTTAGAGGTCTGTCATGAAATATAATAGTTACCCCTTAATTGTTTTCTGTGATGAAATATAATAGTTACCCCTTAAACCTTCTTCTTCTTCCTCTCATCAAAACACTAATCCTTCTTATTCTTCTTCTTCCTCTCATCAAAACACAAGGGAAAGATCGAAAGCTAGAGGGATGAAACAAAATTCGAAGTGGTCATTTTAAGATCGAAGGCTAGATGGAAGAAACAAATTTCGAAGTGGTCATTTTTTTTCGCCCCTGTCCCCAACCCTGCCCCCTGAAGCCTAGTTTACTTATATTACTTTTGGATGCCACCATTTGGGCGAGTTACACGAATTTATGTAATCATATAATTAATTACAGTAATAATCAAATAACACTTTAATGACATATTCTATTTTATAATTACAAATTAATGCAATAATCTAATGAAAGATACATTCACAAAAACTAGTGAAATTATTAAATATAATTGTTTTATGGGATGAAATATAATAGTTACCCCTCCTTAGACTTCTGTCATGAAATAAAATAGTTATCCCTCCTTAGAGTTCTGTCATGAAATATAATAGTTACCCCTTCTTAGTTTTCTGTGATGAAATATAATAGTTACCCCTTAAACCTCCTCCTTCCTCTCATCAAAAATCTAATCCTTCTTATTCTTCTTCCTCTCATCAAAACACAAGGGAAAGATCGAAAGATAGAGGGAAGAAACAAAATTCGAAGTGGTCATTTTAAGATCGAGAAGGCTAGATGGAAGAAGCAAATTTCGAGGGATTATATTACTTTAGGATGCCACCATTTGGGCGAGTTACACGAATTTATGTAATTATATAATTAATTACAGTATTAATCAAATAACATTTTAATGCCATATTCTATTTTATAATTACAAGTTAATGCAATGATCTTATAAAAGATACTTTCACAAAAACTAGTGAAATCGTTAAATATACTTCTTTTATGGGATGAAATATAATAGTTACCCCTTCTTAGAGGTCTGTCATGAAATATAATAGTTACCCCGTCTTTGAGGTCTGTCATGAAATATAATAGTTACCCCTTAATTGTTTTCTGTGATGAAATATAATAGTTACCCCTTAAACCTTCTTCTTCTTCCTCTCATCAAAACACTAATCCTTCTTATTCTTCTTCTTCTTCCTCTCATCAAAACACAAGGGAAAGATCGAAAGCTAGAGGGATGAAACAAAATTCGAAGTGGTCATTTTAAGATCGAAAGCTAGATGGAAGAAACAAATTTCGAAGTGGTCATTTTTTTTCGCCCCTATCCCCAACCCTACCCCCTGAAGCCTAGTTTACTTATATTACTTTAGGATGCCACCATTTGGGCGAGTTACACGAATTTATGTAATTATATAATTAATTACAGTATTAATCAAATAACACTTTAATGCCATATTCTATTTTATAATTACAAGTTAATGCAATGATCTTATAAAAGATACTTTCACAAAAACTAGTGAAATCATCAAATATACTTCTTTTATGGGATGAAATATAATAGTTACCCCTTCTTAGAGGTCTCATGAAATATAATAGTTACCCCGTCTTTGAGGTCTGTCATGAAATATAATAGTTACCCCTTAATTGTTTTCTGTGATGAAATATAATAGTTACCCCTTAAACCTTCTTCTTCTTCTTCCTCTCATCAATACACTAATCCTTCTTATTCTTCCTCTCATCAAAACACAAGGGAAAGATCGAAAGCTAGAGGGAAGAAACAAAATTCAAAGTGGTCATTTTAAGATCGAAAGCTAGATGGAAGAAACAAATTTCGAAGTGGTCATTTTTTTTCGCCCTTGTCCCCAACCCTGCCCCCTGAAGCCTAGTTTACTTATATTACTTTAGGATGCCACCATTTGGGCGAGTTACACGAATTTATGTAATTATATAATTAATTACAGTATTAATCAAATAACACTTTAATGCCATATTCTATTTTATAATTACAAGTTAATGCAATGATCTTATAAAAGATACTTTCACAAAAACTAGTGAAATCATTAAATATACTTCTTTTATGGGATGAAATATAATAGTTACCCCTTCTTAGAGGTCTGTCATGAAATATAATAGTTACCCCGTCTTTGAGGTCTGTCATGAAATATAATAGTTACCCCTTAATTGTTTTCTGTGATGAAATATAATAGTTACCCCTTAAACCTTCTTCTTCTTCCTCTCATCATAACACCAATCCTTCTTATTCTTCTTCTTCTTCCTCTCATCAAAACACAAGGGAAAGATCGAAAGCTAGAGGGATGAAACAAAATTCGAAGTGGTCATTTTAAGATCGAAAGCTAGATGGAAGAAACAAATTTCGAAGTGGTCATTTTTTTTCGTCCCTGTCCCCAACCCTGCCCCCTGAAGCCTAGTTTACTTATATTACTTTAGGATGCCACCATTTGGGCGAGTTACACGAATTTATGTAATTATATAATTAATTACAGTATTAATCAAATAACACTTTAATGCCATATTCTATTTTATAATTACAAGTTAATGCAATGATCTTATAAAAGATACTTTCACAAAAACTAGTGAAATCATTAAATATACTTCTTTTATGGGATGAAATATAATAGTTACCCCTTCTTAGAGGTCTGTCATGAAATATAATAGTTACCCCGTCTTTGAGTTGTCATGAAATATAATAGTTACCCCTTCACAGTTTTCTGTGATGAAATATAATAGTTACCCCTTAAACCTTCTTCTTCTTCCTCTCATCAAAACACTAATCCTTCTTATTCTTCTTCTTCCTCTCATCAAAACACAAGGGAAAGATCGAAAGCTAGAGGGGATGAAACAAAATTCGAAGTGGTCATTTTAAGATCGAAGGCTAGATGGAAGAAACAAATTTCGAAGTGGTCATTTTTTTTCGCCCCTGTCCCCAACCCTGCCCCCTGAAGCCTAGTTTACTTATATTACTTTTGGATGCCACCATTTGGGCGAGTTACACGAATTTATGTAATCATATAATTAATTACAGTAATAATCAAATAACACTTTAATGCCATATTCTATTTTATAATTACAAGTTAATGCAATGATCTTATAAAAGATAATTTCACAAAAACTAGTGAAATCATTAAATATACTTCTTTTATGGGATGAAATATAATAGTTACCCCTTCTTAGAGGTCTGTCATGAAATATAATAGTTACCCCGTCTTAGAGGTCTGTCATGAAATATAATAGTTACCCCTTAATTGTTTTCTGTGATGAAATATAATAGTTACCCCTTAAACCTTCTTCTTCTTCCTCTCATCAAAACACTAATCCTTCTTATTCTTCTTCTTCCTCTCATCAAAACACAAGGGAAAGATCGAAAGCTAGAGGGGATGAAACAAAATTCGAAGTGGTCATTTTAAGATCGAAGGCTAGATGGAAGAAACAAATTTCGAAGTGGTCATTTTTTTTCGCCCCTGTCCCCAACCCTGCCCCCTGAAGCCTAGTTTACTTATATTACTTTTGGATGCCACCATTTGGGCGAGTTACACGAATTTATGTAATCATATAATTAATTACAGTAATAATCAAATAACACTTTAATGCCATATTCTATTTTATATTTACAAATTAATGCAATGTTCTTATAAAAGATAATTTCACAGAATCTAGTGAAATTATTAAATATAATTGTTTTATGGGATGAAATATAATAGTTACCCCTTCTTAGAGGTCTGTCATGAAATATAATAGTTACCCCGTCTTAGAGGTCTGTCATGAAATATAATAGTTACCCCTTAATTGTTTTCTGTGATGAAATATAATAGTTACCCCTTAAACCTTCTTCTTCTTCCTCTCATCAAAACACTAATCCTTCTTATTCTTCTTCTTCCTCTCATCAAAACACAAGGGAAAGATCGAAAGCTAGAGGGGATGAAACAAAATTCGAAGTGGTCATTTTAAGATCGAAGGCTAGATGGAAGAAACAAATTTCGAAGTGGTCATTTTTTTTCGCCCCTGTCCCCAACCCTGCCCCCTGAAGCCTAGTTTACTTATATTACTTTTGGATGCCACCATTTGGGCGAGTTACACGAATTTATGTAATCATATAATTAATTACAGTAATAATCAAATAACACTTTAATGCCATATTCTATTTTATATTTACAAATTAATGCAATGTTCTTATAAAAGATAATTTCACAGAATCTAGTGAAATTATTAAATATAATTGTTTTATGGGATAAAATATAATAGTTACCCCCCTTTGAGTTCTGTCATGAAATATAATAGTTACCCCTTCTTAGTTTTCTGTGATGAAATATAATAGTTACCCCTTAAACCTTCTTCTTCTTCCTCTCATCAAAACACTAATCCTTCTTCTTCTTCTTCTTCTTATTCTTCTTCTTCTTCTTCCTCTCATCAAAACACAAGGGAAAGATTGAAAGATAGAGGGAAGAAACAAAATTCGAAGGGGTGGTTTTTTTCGCCTGTGTCCCCAACCCTTCCCCCTGAAGCCTAGTTTTCTTATATTACTTTAGGATGCCACCAATTTGGCGAGCTACAGGAATTTATGTAATTATATAATTAATTACAGTAATAATCAAATAACACTTTAATGACATATTCTATTTTATAATTACAAATTAATGCAATGATCTTATGAAAGATACTTTCACAAAAACTAGTGAAATTATTAAATATAATTGTTTTATGGGACATGGTGGTGATGTAGCCTTCTCTCATCTGGTGGTGGTGATATAGCCTTCTGTCATCTGGTGGTGGTGGTGGTGATGTAGCCTCTGTCATCTGGTGGTGGTGGTGATGTAGCCTCTGTCATCAGTCTGTCCCTTGTTCTTCACTTCTGTAAGGTTAGATGATATAAATAGTTACCGTATATCACGGCCTATAAGGCGGCGGGGTGCATAAGACGCCCCCCCCAAATTTCCATTTAAAAAGTAGCTTTTGAGCTCTATTTGCTGTATAAGACCAGTACCCCAAATGTGACACTTACCCACTGACTCAGTAGTCCTTTACCAACCATCCTTGATTTTTTAAAATAAGGCCAATTCACTTCAAGTAATGTCATCAAATTATACCCGCTGGTGTAGTGTAAACACTAGTGACGTCACTGAAGCGTGGTGGGAGTGTTCCCTCGTCTCGGTGGTGTGACTATTTATACAACATGTGGTTCAACAGCAACCACCGTATTCTAATTGTGGTGTTTCATTAGGATTTGAGTGAAAAAGGTTACCAGTATGTACTTACTACATACATTTATTACACAAATATATATATATATATATATATATATATATATATATATATATATATATATATATATATATATATATATATATATATATATATATATATATATATATATATATATATATATATATATATATATATATATATATATACTGAATATACTATGTACAAAAAATGAATGTTCAATGAATTATTTATGGTGCATTAGGGTACTGGTCACTTCTGATGGGCTATAAATAGCCTTCTTTATCTCCCCTACATCTCACCCTGAGCCAGACGGAAGGGTCTTGGTAAATAACATGTTTGCTTATTTTCCATTTACTTTAAATAGATTTACCGAATTATTTGTTTTATTTATTTATTTATAATATACTGTAATATATTAAACACACTGTAATTATTTTCTTTAATTTATAAACTGTTTTGCGACAAAGGAATGTTCTCCAGTAGTGTTTCATTAGGATTTGAGTGAAAAAATATTACGTACTTACACAATTGTTCCTCTTACTTTGACAACACAACATACATACAGTATATTATTTCTCAGTTTTGATCTTTTTTTTTTATTTTTGTATTTATTTATAGTTAGTTACTTAAAATAAGGCCAATTCACTTCAAGTAATGGCATCAAATATTACCAGCTGGTGTAGTGTAAACACTAGTGACGTCACTTGAGCGTCTGTAATTAACCGTCGATAGTTTCAAGAATTAATGCACCCATTTACTGAATATTCTTTGGAAAAAAATAAAATTTAAATCAATTATTTATAGGAGATAAATATTATTATGAGTAAATATACCGATACCGGTATGCATTACTGACCACCTCCACGGCTCCTCACTGGCAAATGGGGGGGGGGGCGTGGGGAGGGGTGTGTGATGATAGCTGTGTTTATTATAGGGGTATAAATCTCTTTTACGGTATGTTAGACAGGTTTATAATACATTTTTATTATTTTAATATACCGGTAATCTTAATTTGAATCCAGCTTGCCAAACGTAAGTTTCAGTATAAAATAATTAGTGGTAAGACCTTGTGAGTGGCTTATGATGTTTTCATCACCACTCTTGACACACTAAACCACAATATTTAAGAGGTAAGAATTTTAAACTTGGTGGTTTAGACGACCCCCTAACTTTGGGCAGATTTTTTTAATGTTCAAATTTCGTCTTATAGGCCGTGATATACGGTATATAGATTTAATGATGAATACAGTTGATAGATTCACAGACTTAATAATTGGCAAAGCCAACAAATGCTTATTTACAGCAGGGTCCTTTGCTTAGGCTAGGTCTCTAATCAGTAATAGCATGTCAACAGGAGAAATAGAGAAAGTTTTCTGATCAATTTAACAAGCATTACATTGCACTTGGACTAACTGAGGTTGGCAGATCACTTCAACATTATATATTTTGTGGTTAATACAGAAACATCTTCATCTGTTATGTATTTTTTACTTTTAGCTATGAATTGTTTTACACTATTAATGGTTTTGATGTACTGTAGTTTGGTAACTTGTTTCAGTCTTTTATAGCTGTGAAGAAGAAAGTGTTTTTTGCTTGAATGTAAACACCAGGTACGGTATACCACAAAATTATGTTCCCTCCCTCTAGTGCCTGCCGGTTCATATCCCTAATCCTTACACAATTTGGTGTTAAATAGTCTGGCCACAGTTTGTTGAATATCTAATAAGAGTGATTCAGACTCAGTTGCTTCACTCTATCTGTCACACTTAACATTTTCAGTGATTGAAGAACTCTGAGACCAATGTGATCTCTTGCATTCATGTCAAGAATAAACCTCGCTGCCTTGTTTTAAATAATTTTTAATTTGACTTTTAGCTTCTGTGTTAAGGCAGAGTGTAGTGACGATCAGGAATAGTCTAAGTGACTTTGTAGAGTGCCAAGCAAAGTTGCTATGAGCATCAGCTGAGACATATGGCATTTCCATAAACAAATTGTTTATCCTAACATTGGTTATACTTATTATATCATCTACAATTTATTCTCCAGATGAAGAAAGTCAAGAGGAAATCCAAGGTATTTCACTGAGTTTACAGATGAGATGGGTTCATTCCCACATTGTAGTAAAACTCCCCAAAGTCGGACTCAGTCTGAATTACCAGTGCACATGCCGAGTTGTAATTGGCAGCGTGGCGCAACACCAGTCTCTCACCAGCTGCCAGATAATGTGATGGCATCCAGCCAGTGCTGGATTTAGGCACAAGGTAAGTAAGCTACAGCTTAGGTCCTCACATTATGAGAGCCCTCTAAATATGTTTGAGATACAGTAGGTAAAAATTATTGTTATGAATCAAATTGCCCTGACTTAAATAGTAACTTATTTCATTTGCAGGTCACAAAATTCAGTCTAATAATGTTTATAATTTTAAAGTACTGTATAATTTGGAAACCTTATAAATTAGTTTTTCAATTCACCCATTCACTGACTCATGTTAGCTGTGTGGCAGTTGATTGCTGCCTAGATGCAGTAAATTTTGTTGTTGTTGTGTAATAAATACTGTATATACTTTCTTCTCTGCCTCTACAAAACCCTGGGCAATACTCAAATTATTCTTGAATCCTGACTCTACAGTACCAAAAAATCTTCTGACACTATACTAGGTGGGAAGCACATGCAAAGGCTACTTCAGCCATAGGCCCATAGGTGAGTTATACAGTAATTCAATTATTTACTGTAATGATGCTTTTACTCATGTCCATACTACTGTACTAATGCCAGCGAAGAGGGTGAAACAAGAAGAAAGATGATATTCTTCTTGCGAAAACTGAGGAACTGGAATGTGTGTTCATGTTCAGTGGTTAGATCATTTCCACAAACCAACAAGACCCTACAGGATCCACAGATTGGCCTTAGCACATGTACAAAGCCATACACATTGCTCACTAACTTCCTGAAATAAATCCTAGAATGTTTTGATGAAATTGGACTCAACGCAAAAGAAGACCTGCCTGATGTAGACTACAAATGCGTGAATAAAAGAGAGTGAGAAAAAACAAGTCAGTGATGGTGATGCAGCAAATGATGATGACAGGCTTTCTCCAAGAGACAAATTTTGAATAAAATCCTTTATTCCCATGATGGATGCCCTTGAAATCAGTGTGAAAAAAAAGACAATCATAAACAGTACTGTACAATAATGTTGCAAATATATAGAAATTTTGAGTTGATTTAGAAGAAGAATAGTTGTGTAACAGTGTAAAGTTTCTGATGAAAGACTATCCTAATGATATTGATGTTAACCTTGTGGGGAAGTAAAGCACTTTCATGTTTATACCAAGAAAAATTATTCTAATAAAGTATATTTATGCCACTAGGACCGCTATCGAGTCATCTTCCAAGACAAGATTCATTTGGCTTTCCCTAATGTAGAAGCAATATTGTGGCTACTTTTCAGTCTAATAGTAACAAACTGCTTAGGAGAAAGGTAAATTCTGTAAATGAAAAGGATTAAGAATGAACTATGGACATCAATGCTGTGAGAAAAGTTCTCTGCATTAAGCATTATGTGAATAGAAAGTTAAAATTTTGTAGCTTATCATTTTGGACGACTTCATCCATGACTTTGCTCTTGGGAACTACGAAAGGAAATGTTTTAAATTTTATGTGATGTTCAAACAGAAGAGATAGTGCCAGTTGCATTACTGCTTCCATTTATTAAGGGTGAAACTGTTTAATTTCTTTATATAATAGTAGGAGTAACCAGAGAACAGATTATCTCAACTGTTACTCAACTCGTGTGACGAATAACTTTTGTTACCAAAATTGTCACGTATACTTGGAGTACACTTGACTAACTGTAAACTGTAGACTGGTCCTATAGTCACCTTAGACTGGTCCTAGACTGGGTCCTCTTAAGCTACGTTTTGCCAACCATGTAACAATATCTTCTTTGTAACAGTATAACACAGTAATGGGGAGAACATAATATATCTACCTTTACCAACTGTGTATCTGTTGGGTGACTGTTACTTGTTGCATAACAACTACTTGTGAAGCTGTCATACATGTAACAACCTTTCTGGGTTGTCACCACTTGTAAAAATCACTTGTGAAACATGTTACTTATATTCTAGACATACTAAAATATAGATCAAAGTTTATTGGGTCTTCAGTGACTTAATCCAATAGGTTTCTTTTGTGTATTTATTATAAAAGGTTTCTATGTACACATTCAAAAAGGATTATCACTGTAGCTATGAGTGTTAAATGAGGACGGAGGGTATCTTAAAGCGGCTCTTCTAAAATACGTCCGATTGATGCGAGAGTGGGAGTGATCTTGAGTAAGGACCCTCGGGGGAGAACAGAATACCTGTATGTCCGACGTCCTCCCTCGAGGAAAGACGTAAACACATCAACGATGGCTCTAAATAATGTCTTCCTCTCATCAGGGTTATCAAACTACTGCCCACAATAGGTGGCCAGGGAGCCAGATACTTATCCCTTAGCTCAGCACTAAGTGACATGTCTTCCCGTGGACACACTTTATCACGAGCTCTGAACATGAACCTCATAGCTAGTGGAAAGCTACAGGGGGTGATAGCTATACAAGATTAATGTAATTAACTCACATTTAAATAAATACTTGTGCCTATAAGACAGGGGCTAATACTAGTACAAGGGTTGATCTGTGCAATGTTTTATGTTAAAAGTCTTCAATTTCATATTTACTAGTTAGGAAATCATAAAGTATTTTATAATGCAAATAAGGCTTTTTCTAAGATGTGTAAGTTATTTAGATTATAAGTTGTTCATTGCATCTTTGCCTATGTATACTGTACAGTATATGTAAATACATAGTTTTAGAAAAAAAAAATATTGACCTTTATGTTAAAATGTAATACACCCTTTCTCACTATTATATATAGTACTTTATTTTTTTTTATGGTATGGAGCCTCCAACTCTTGACATAGCTTAGGGCTTCAGCATATCTTAATACAGCCCTCCATCCAGCAATAATTGTGGTGGTTATATAGTTACTACAGTACAGTACAATACATTTAAGTTTAGTGTAATTAAGTTTGGTGTAATACTGTACAGTACTGTACATATTTCTACTTTAATGTTAAGCAAGTCAGACGAGCCAAAGTGCAGTGCCTCTCTCCACCCACCAAGGCTCCAGCAACCATATAGGAAAGTAAGTGTCCTGGAGTGTTCAGTTGTTATTATGCTTTTAAAGGGTAATATCAAATGAAGACAATTTTTTAAAAGGTACTGGAGACAGTGAAGTGTACAGATGAGGTGTGTGTGTGTGTGTGTGTGTGTGTGTGTAAGATAGGTGTAAATATGGAGGAGAAAGTAGAGATGTCTAATAAATAAGTTAAAGAAGAGGTACTGCATGAACCAACCTTCTGGAAAACATGTAACAACACACAAGTGAACATACTGGATGTGGCATGCTATATGTTTTACCTTGATAAGAGATGAGTTTATCTTGGGCCACTGCAGGATGAGTGAAGGAAGTGGGTGAACTTTTGACAGTTTCTCTAATGCATCTTTGTTGGTCGGTCCACTCAGTCTACTTCCCCGACCTCGCCTTCCTCTGTCACAATAAAAAGTGAGTTAGTGAAATACTGTACAGGCATCCCTTAAGGTACAGAAGCTTGAGTAATGGAAATTCATATTAAAGGAACGGAAAAAAATATGGAATAATCTTTGAGATACAGAGGAAAAACTTCCATTAGTTACTGGGACACTGTACAGTACAGTACCTACTGGTATTGGTTTGATCAGATCCCTTGAAGAATCTCCACCCCAACTTATTACACCTAAAGATTAACCACCTTAATGCTATTTGTGGGGATGAGGTTAGGTTAGGTTAGCATTTGGGTGGTTAATCATTAGGTGAAATAAACTAGGATGGAAATTCATCAGGTAATCCTACTATTACAAGGTGCAGTAAACTTGGTTTGGGGGGTGGGGGGGGCTTTCAGTCTTATACTGTATTTTCCTTTTAATTTATATACATGTTAAAAGTTTTATAAGTGAAGTTTAAAATTTAAAGACAAAAATATTTTGTGCACAACAAAGTTAGTCACAGATCTGTAATGTGCAGTTAAAGGTCCAGGAATTTTGGGTGTATGTTTTAGGGCTGCAGTCCCATACTGTTCCTTAAATTTACCATTGAAATACATAGAATGATTTAACATGATTCAACACCACCCACACCTGAAGTGAAGTGAAAGAATTAACATTAAACTTTGAGATGACTATCACAGATTCATATCATTCTTGATGGCAATCTTTTTTTTAAGAAAAAGTAATACTGTATGAGTATTATAGCTAATTAATATGAAACACTTTCAAATATTATTGGTAAAGGTGGAGGAGACAGTTACCACCAGAAGTATCTTATGGATCTGAACCAAAATTCCTGGAGATACTATTTGCATGATACTGAAAACGAAAATGGAAGCAAGAATATACGTACAGAACATATTAGAACCTGACCTAACCTTATCTAACATCCTAACCAGTGGACACTTTCAGCAGACACCAGAAAGAAGTTGGAGACCCTTTAAAAGTGGTGTTTTAGGAGATTGCTATGAAAAGGCTACACTGAGAGAAAAACAAATAAAGAAGTACTGTACTAAGATTAGCAAGAACTTCAAGAGAAATAATTGAAATGTACAGAAAAAGAAAAATTAGATACTTGGTCATATAATTAGGGATGAGGGAATAATAACAAATACCAATGTGTAAATTTGAGGATAGGAGGGCCCAAGGGGACAGGGGAAGGCAGAGACTGGGATGAATGAAATAAATTAATAACTGGGTTCCCAGAGAGATACGTAACCTAAGAGAATTGGTAAAAACAGCAGTAGAATGTTTAGAGTGGAGGAGTCCTCCACTCGAAACGTTCTTGGGCTGTAGTCGCCAACCCACAGATATGAGGAGATTACTCTGCATAATTAATCTCGAAATTCTGTCACAACTGCAGTTGAAAATTTAGAATTAAAAACACAAAGCAATTGCTCAAGCACGATATCTTACTATGGAAGGAAAATGTAGGGGTTAAAAAGGTATTTGCTCCCGTATTGGCATCGAGTGACATTCCTGTAACTACTGTATAACCTAAAGTTACCATAAATGTGTGTGGATATGTGCTTTCAAATGACTGATTAAATTGCAGTTTAAAACACCATGACACTTTAAGAAAGTTGCTTTTATTGGTACCAGATATCAGAGTAAGTATTTTCTGCTTAATATGGCAAGAAGTTTGGGGAACAGAGCCTCCCTAGCTTGGAAGTTAGGTAAGGTTTGGTAGGTTTCTTTGGTTGGTTAGGTCAGGTTCTATTAGGTTCTTGTAAATGTAGCCTCTTTTAAAATACTTACTATAATAATAAGAACATCTGTGGAAAAATGAATGAAATCGAACAACTCCTTCTGGTGGTAGTGATGTTCTCAGAAATTACCCAATTACTTTCATCTTCATAATCTCCTAACACAGGCTGACAATACATGACTTTCTTTTTCTTTTCTTTTTTACTTTTATCCTGTTCGCCACTGATCGGCTCGTTAGCCGCTTACGTGGTCGGTCACGTCTCTGTTACACACTGTTGGCAAGTACTGGGCATGCATTGGCTCCTGAATATATCTGAACCTGCTCCAGTGCTGGTCAAGTCTGGTCTTGAAAGAGCTCACACTCGGTGTTGACACAACACTTTCTGGCAGATTGTTCCAAGAGTTCCCAACTTTCACTCTGAAAATTTTGCCTTTACAGTTTTCTGGACTTGCGGCTTCTTCAACCTTGAACTGTGACCCCTTGTGGGGTGAGCGTCTGCCAGCTCCAGGTATGGACACTCGACCGAGTAGTGCCCTTTGAGATATTTATACACCTCAATTAGGTCCCCCCTTGCCCGTCTGTAGTATAAGCTAGGCCATTGCAGGTGCTCTAATCTCTCTGGGTAGCTGAGGTGCCAAAGTGCAGGCACCAGTCTGTTGGACCTCCTTTGTACATTTTCAATCAAATGACAGTCTCAAGCATATCTCGGGGACCAGATGGGGTGACAGTACTCCAGGCAGGGAAGCACCTCACTCTTGAAGATCGTTATGAGGAATGGACCAATTAGATATCAAATACCATCTTATAAGACCTGATAATTTAGTTGCTTCATTCACCTTCTTCTTACAATGGCCCGAGAACTTCAGTTCATTGTCAGCATACACACCCATGTCCTTTTTCCATTCAGTCACAATTAATGCAGTTTCTTCATCCTGTTGGGACATATGATATGCCCCCTTACCATTGGTACATCCCAGGTGCATCATTTTGCACTTCGTGACATTGAATCTTAGCAGTCATTTCCTCGATCATTCTTGAAGCTCACATAGAAACTTCCTGCAGCCCTTCACAGTCCGCTTCGTTCTTAATTTCCCTAAATAACTTGGCATCGTCCACAAATATTTGCATGGAGGAGTGTATAGCGTCTGGCATGTCATTTATGAAACAAACAAACAACGGGCCCAATACACTGTCCTGTGGTACCCCGCTTGTCACGGGTACACATGACGATTTTGTACAATTAATCACAACACACTGTTTGTGATCATGGAGAAAGTCTCCAATCCATGCTAGGACACTTCCCCTTTCAGTTTAATTTCTAGCCTTTCATGGGGCACACTGCCGAAAGCCTTGGCAAAATCTAGGTACCGGTACCCTGTATATACAAGGGTATTGTCGATATTGCCTTTAATTCCATATTAACAATTTCCTAAATTCACAATTTCAGCATATTAGTATTTATAACTTAGTTTATCTGAAGGGTAAATATATTAGAGGCAAAGATACTCATAATAAAACTTGCTCTCATAATTATTCAGATGGTGACCGTCCGCTGTTTTTCATTGAAACTGGGCTTAAAAATACCCAATTTGGTCAAATTTCACTTAAGTTTTTCCAATGATATCTGATGAGTTTCGAACGAATTTGATCGTCATTTCAGCCGGAAATCAATAGTTTTTGAGATACCTCCTCCCCCCACCCACCCACCCATCAATCTTAACGAAAATGTTTATTTTTTCGAGTAAATCACATAAATAAATTACCAACCAACCAACCAACAGAACCAAACTTAACCTGTCCTAACCTAACCTAATCTATATCTTAACTCACTTATATCTAGAATACTAAGCATTTGCACAAGAAAATTCATAGAAAGAAGAGCATAATGGATCTCGAGTTGAGCAATGTGTTTTTCCGATTGTTTAGACAATTTTAAGACACTTCTTTTATAACGTATCCCTCGCAAATTACTTAAATATACCGGAATTATCATAGAAGAAAAGTGTCTTAAAATTGTCCAAACAAACGGAAAAACACATTGCTCAACTTCTAGGGGTATTGTCCAAGACTACAGTTTCACCAACTCTTTAAGAAAAACACTCATATTACTTAACCACTGACGGTCACCAGCCGTATATTTACCTTTGCTGCTTTATTAACTTTAGAAAATTAGTAACTATTATTAAAATAAGCACTTACCTGCATCTGTTGTTTCCCCTACACAGGACTCGTGGTACTGTAGTAGTGTACACTTTATAACTGGCAGGTGACGGTTCCCTACCAGGTAAGTTTGTTTGTTTACCAATATTCTGGTTTGTGAGCGGGCGCAGTTCCTTTACCTTTATCGCATTTTACCCTCTAATAATAAGACTAAAAACGTGATTTAATGGCCTATATATTATGCTAGAGTATTTATAATAATCTATAATTTATTTAATCCAGTCATACTGTCATATATATATATATATATATATATATATATATATATATATATATATATATATATATATATATATATATATATATATATATATATATATATATATATATGTATATGCAAGTAAATCACTGTAGGTGCGCGTTATCCAGGTATATGCTGATAACCACAAGGAAAGAAGAAAACACGAAGTTCCCAAGCGCTTTCGTGTAATTCATATCTTCAGGGGTGAGTACAGACTAGAGAGAGTAATGCAAATCAAGGTGTATATATACAGAGGAGGGTGAGACCAGGTCCACAATGGTCAGGTATTAGGTAATGACCCTACTAATCTTTAAATAGCACACAACGGTTGGTGGTCAGGTCAGATGGTCAGGTGACCCGGCCTTCTCACCTGATCACAAATCTTCTTAATTACAAAATTGTCCAGCTTGTACATGCCGTTACTTGAACACTATTTCCTTGACTTTGTGAAGATAGAACCTTTTAGGGACAGGTCCAAGCACACTGTGTATGAAATGGCACAACATTATCTCTAATGGCAAAATAGCTGACGTAGTATTAAGATTGTACTATTGGCGAAGGCCTTCCAGCCATAAATATGCCGGAAACATATAAACTTGGATTTGCCCCCACCTTTCCCACAGTTACCATCACCTCCTACCTCACCCCCCATGACGACTGCACCTGAAACCACCTTCTGAACTATGGAATTAACACTGTTCAGACTTTTGAACAGATCGATTTACAAGCAGGATACAGGAACCTAACCCATTCGTAACTCGGGCCCTGCATGGTATATGGCAGTTTAGTAATTTTTATATTCATATTTCACAAGTACAGTATAACACTTTCAGGAGGATTGTAATAAATGCAGTTCAGTATGATGGAATGGTTTTATTGGGAAAAATATTTTTCAACATCTATACATAATGTGTGATTTTCACGAATGCAAGAAGAGAAAGGAAAATCAACACTTGACAGTGCACATACGAGTGATGGTTACAGTCAACACACAAGATATTCTTACTGATTTATGAGATGTGACCATCTGAATACATTTACACATCTATCTCTTTATCAGTGAGAGTAAACTGATCATGAGACAATATAAAGTAGATGTATTGTAAATCAAAGTCACAATAAAAAATCAGAAAGCTATACATATCCGTATATCAATGTGAGTTTGTTATACGAACTTGACATTCACATTATTGTGAATCTTTGAAAGGAAAGATGATGTAACTTGAAAAGCCACTAGACCAACTTTTATCACTGAAAACATGTTAAATTCACCTGGGAAATATTTCATTGGTGCTATACTATTACTTGATAAATCAGTAAAAGTAATAACCAATTGTAGTCTGTCAAAAATCAAGTGTAATGTACAGTACAGCACTTGTGTTATTCAATCACTCTTCTCAGGTTCATGTTTCCAGCTCGTTAATGATCAGTCTGACTTTTCATCACCTTACATGTAACTTTGTGCTATAAGAAAATCATACTCATCATGATAGGAACCTAACACACTCTTATAAAAACACTTGGAAAAAACTTACATAAAAAAAATATATGGCTGAGAGTTTTTTCCAAAGAAGCATTATTGTACTTTTTCCATCTATGATTATGTATGACTTTAATTTTCTCCAAAATTATGTATTACATATAATCTTGGAATAGTTCCCTTAAATTGGTAAAGTACTGTAAATTGAAATATGGACAGAGTATTTTTTAATTTTTACCTGATTTTTAAAGTTTTTAATCGCTGTACAAAATAGAAGATTCTAAAAGAACCTCACATAGAAAAAAAAAGAACTTTGAAAATAACTTTGCTAAAATATTAATAAGAGACTGTACTTTAATCACTTCTGTTTCTTGCTTCAAAGAGCTTTGGTCCTGTGTAAAGTGATTATGACAATTTAATATTACCCACAGTAAAGTGTTGCTATTTTAGGGCCTAAAATGCCTTACATTTTTCTCCACATAATGGTACAGTCCCAATGAATAGTAAAAGGTAGTATTTATAAAAATGTTAAATATTGGCTTTATGTGTGTAGGATTACATTGCAACAATAAGCTACCTGTTACTGTTAAATTTGGAAGTAATAAGTACAGCTGAATCTCTTTTGTACTCTCCCGGTATTCTTTGCACTTCCCCTTGCACTAAATTATAAAAACAGTTACTTGTACAACTAATTAATGAATGATACATTATGCTCTTAGGCAGCATGTGGTGGACTTGTTAAGAGAGAAATGACATTTTCATAAATGGAAAACTTGATCTATTACATCAGACAAGTATAATCATGGTGGAATCGGAAAAACAGACTGCACTGTACTGTACCTGCAGCACCATAAAACCATTAATGGGTGGTGTCAGTCTAAAGTAATCCTCCAACACTTTAAGCTGATATTCTGAAGTGAACGATCAATCAATCTATCAACTAAGCCCTGATTAATTTTGGCTTCTTTTTACAATAATTGAAATCTGTGTAAATGGACAGGTTGCTGGTGACCATAATTTTGTTAATGTGGCATCACGACTCATCCAATAATCGTGATGCTTAGAGTGACAAATGTGGACAGAGCTTAGTCATTAAGGCAATTAGCTGCAGTGGTCATCTTTGATGATCAAATTGTGTACCACTGTAGAAGTACTGTACTGAGTAGGTAATTTATACAAAAATGCTCATGCACATCAACATCTTAGATGGATGAGTTGACTGAATATCAAGCTATACACTATGTTAGAATGCCATACACTCATAACAAGAATAAACATTTAAAAGATGAAAGCCAAGTTTTCTTTAAGTCATTATGACCACTGTCTATGTGTAAGATGAACATTTGTGATAAATGCAAGAACTTTATATTACACATACAGTAACAATGGTCACATATGCAGTATTAAAAGACACAGTAGAATTATTCATTACCTTCTATACAGTAACTGAACAGTTAATGACAACAGTCTTTGGTATGATATGGCACAAAACCTTTCTTAAAATACTGCATTATTACAATAGTGAATGGCTGTGTTTATAATCTTTTATAAAGAAATATTACAATAAAATTCATGTACCGTAAACAGCCATTTACCAAGCAGTTATACAAACCTGTAAATCGCTATTCCATTCAATAGCAAAAAACATGCCATTTCACAGAGATGTACTGTACAGTACTTGCAAGATGGAAATATTAGTTCAATTACCGGTAAATTATGAACTTATGCATATTGACATTACTGGTTGAATTAAGAATATACAAAATGTTATGAATAGCATTTCACAATACAGTATAGCTTCTGAGGCATAACAAACATATTGTATTTCAATGCCTATGCTAAAAGGATCAATTTTGATGAGAAAAATGGCAACCTTGTTTGTCCAACAAGGCTGGCATCTCATATGGCAATCTTCTCACAATGGTCCTACTTACTTTAATTTACAACCTAATTTTATTTATTACACTGGTCCGTTAAATGTCTGTCAACACCAGAAAATAGTCAGAGAAAATTGTCTTAGTTAATATAATGAAAAGTTCCAATTAGCTAAAAAAATATCAATAAAAATTTTTGCACCTCTATACAACCACTGTATCATAGTCTATTGTTTAAATATACACATAGAAAACTAAACTGGAATTTGTTACATATTTTATACAGATAGAGAAATGCACTGTAATACCCAACCTGTGGATAAGAAAAAAGCCATCAAGAGATAGAATAGGAGACCATAGGTAGAAAATACTACTGATAAAGTCCAAGAAATATGGTGAAGGCATTCCTTGATACAAGGGAGAAGTTGGAAGTCACCATCACTCTTACCTCTAGTCATCAGAGGCTTAAAATAATGGCAGATTTACTAGTCTTTGGAGTTTCTCTCGTTAAAAATATTTTTGTTTATACTGTATTATGAATTCCTTTTTCTCTGCATTAAAATTTCACAATTAGCTTAAACTTCATGAGGACAATATTAACTACCAATTCATGAAGCAAACTGATTATGCAGTGCAGGCCCAAATTATATACTGTACGTACATGTTGATTCTTAAAAAGAGAAAGAGTGGGGAAGGCAAAGTTGAGTATACTGTACAGTATATGTGTGCATCAGGTAATGTTATTTCTTGGCTACTCATGAAAATAATTGTTTAAATGTAATATGATCTAAACATATTTAAAGCACTTTCTTTAAATTCAAGTAAAGTCTTATTTGACTACACATCAAGTGGTTTCATTTCAAGATCTGGCTACATCAATATCCCCTGCTCATAATTACCTCCTGAAATCCACAAAATCATTATCCTGTGTCTGGGCAATTTTTAATTAAGAATGCAGAATCACCACCTTGTATTTTTATGTTTATTCTGAAAAAAATAAAATAGGTCTTCATATCTTAAAAGAAATACACAATACATAGCACCAACTTGAAAAAAACCCTATTAAGTGTAACAAGAGAAAAACATGAAGTTTACAGACGAGTATCATATATATGCAGAGGAACACAGTCTTCTATATCATGCTTATAACTCCTGCATTTAGAAATGAGGGTAGCAAATGCAGGGAAGGAGAGTTATGAGGTACAGTACTGTAAAATGTCTTGCTGAAAATAGGAAGCCGCAACTCTCACAAACTTCTTCATCCGTGTATCATATGACAGGGGCTTAACAGAGCTTTGATCTTCACTAACCAATTAAAGAAAAGCGTGATCCCATCAGTGTGATACCTGGGTAACAAACACAATGGTCCCACAGCCAGGTACAGTACACGAAAGCTAACATGACCCGTCAAAATCTATAAAAAACAAACTTTCCAATGTCTTATGAATATTTATTACTTAGTGTTTCTATTTATTAGCAAAAT